TTTATTTATCTTCATGTAAAACGAAATCATTTCCGTAGGATGAGTGACGATTTATTTTGAACTCATGTAAGATTTAATACCTTTGTTTATATAAATTACTGTAAAAAAGACGAGTTTTCCCGCTTGCTTTTCCATTATGAAACAACTTGCAATTAATTTAATAGTATTTTTTTTATGAAATAGCAACAAATTTTTCTATTTGAAGCAACTTAAAATTATATCTTACAATTGTATATATTTTTTTTTTGGTAAATCTGAAACAAAAATTATTACTTTCCACTGAAACAACATTTAAAGTATATGAAAGTAACATTTTTAGATAAGTTAACATTTGAAAACTTTGCGAGTCCAGAGAAAGTATATTAATTTACACCCAAACCTTCTTCATTTTGCAAGTAAATAAAGCGAAAAAGTTTACAATCGGCCAAAAATATCAAATGGCGTGAAGTTTTTCATTTTTTTTTTGTATTCGATGTGGATGCTTCACCTATCTGCTCAGCTGTCCATAGTGGAAGCCTTTTATCATAGTGGAAGCCTCGATCATAGTGGAAGCCTTGATCATAGTGGAAGCCTTGATCATAGTGGAAGCCTTTTATCATAGTGGAAGCCTTGATCATAGTGGAAGCCTTGATCATAGTGGAAGCCTTTTATCATAGTGGAAGCCTTGATCATAGTGGAAGCCTTGATCATAATGGAAGGCTTGTTCTATGAAAGAGTCAGAAATAAAGTCAAAGAAACAGAGAGAGAGAAACAGAGAGCTGTGTGTGTGTGGTGGACGGGCCGAAGCTGACTCAGGGAACAAGACCTGCTATCCTCTACAGCTGGCCAAGGATCACCCCCACGACACATAAATCTGTCACACCACGAATTTCAGAGAGGGAGGGAAAATATTGGTGCGTAGTAGCAGAGATTGTGTTCTGGTGTTCGTAGTTTTTTAGGGATCTATCTGTCTGTCTGTCTGTCCAGGTATATTTATGTGTCTTATCCTGTGTGTGTGTGTGTGTGTGTGTGTGTGTGTGTGTGTGTGTGTGTGTGTGTGTGTGTGTCAGGGCTCCTATGTGTATTAAATAAAATGGAGGAATATTATTTCTGAACATAATGTAATGACGTAACACGTTTTAATTATGATTTTAAACTGTTCAAAGTAAAAAGTTAGAACTGGTTTGTTGATTGTGTCATTTTGATATACTTACACCCACACCTACACCCACACTTACACCCAGATCTACACCCTCATCTACCCCTTCACCCACACCCATTTCTACACTTGTAACCACACCCACATTTCTTAAATATTCACCTTTGTCTTCACTAACTCGCAGGTAGGGTGACGAAGCGGGGCGAGACGGGGCAGAGAGGGGGTGGGGGGAAAGGGGCGGGGGTCGGGGAGGGGGCAAAGAGGGGGAAGGGGTGGGGGTAGGACGGGAGCAGGGGCGGGGGTGATGAATGATGCACACGTCACTGATGTTTACCCACAGTTATTAACATATTCTGTCAAGAGAGGAAAGAACACAGACCATTTTTTTTACAGCCCATGAATAGATGATGATGATAATGATGACGATAATGATGATGACGATAACGATGATAATGATGACGATAATGATGATGATGAGGATGGTGATGTAATGATGATGAGGATGGTGATGTAATGATGATGAGGATGGTGATGTAATGATGATGAGGATGGTGACATAATGATGGGGGTAGGACGGGAGCAGGGGCGGGGGTGATGAATGATGCACACGTCACTGATGTTTACCCACAGTTATTAACATATTCTGTCAAGAGAGGAAAGAACACAGACCATTTTTTTTACAGCCCATGAATAGATGATGATGATAATGATGACGATAATGATGATGACGATAACGATGATAATGATGACGATAATGATGATGATGAGGATGGTGATGTAATGATGATGAGGATGGTGATGTAATGATGATGAGGATGGTGATGTAATGATGATGAGGATGGTGACATAATGATGGTAATGAGGAGGAGAATAATGATGATGATGACGTGAAACATTTTTTTGCCTAAGTGATGGTGTCCTTTAACCCTACCTGGGTCTTGAGGCAGCCAATGGGAGGGTGACTCTAATCAGGGCTGGTTGGTTCTTTATCACGATTGGTTGGCTTCTTATTAGAGCTGATATGTGTGTGTGTGTGTGTGTGTGTGTGTGTGTGTGTGTGTGTGTGTGTGTGTGTGTGTGTGGTGTGTGACCGGAGTGGTGTACCGGCATTACCTGTCCTAGAGCAGCTTATTAACACCTGGAGTGTCAGAGGTGAGTGTCACTGGCTGAAGGTGGGTGCATGAGGCTCTGTGCTAAGGCTCGTGAGAGGTGGAGTGCCTTGAGGAGGAGGGTAGTAAGAGGAGGAGCCAGTACAGGTGGAGGGAGTCAGTGGAGCCAATGGAGGGAGTCACTACAGGTGAGTCAGTGGAGGGGCCAGTGGAGGGAGTCAGAGGAGGGAGAGGAGCCAGTGGAGGGAGTCACTACAGGTGGAGGGAGCCAGCACAGGTGGAGGGAGGCAGGTGGAGGGAGTCACTACAGGTGGAGGAGGTACAGGTGGGAGGGAGTCAGTGGAGGAGTCTACAGGAGGGAGTCCAGTGGGAGGGAGTACTACAGGGGTGGAGGGGCCAGCAGGTGGAGGAGTCACTACAGGTAGAGGGAGTCACTACTAGTGGAGGGAGTCAGTGGAGGGGGCCAGTACAGGTGGAGGGAGTCAGTACAGGTGGAGGAGGTAGAGGGAGGGAGCTGGAGGTAGTCAGGTGGAGGGGCCAGTACAGGCGGGAGGGAGTCACTACAGGTAGAGGGAGTCAGTCAGGAGGGCCAGTACAGGTGGAGGGAGGGAGGGGTGGAGGAGGGTCATGGAGGGGCCAGTACAGGTGAGGAGCTCAGGAGGAGTCACTACAGGTGGAGGTGGTCAGTCAGGGAGGGAGCTACAGGGAGTGGGAGGGAGCAGCACAGGTGGAGGGAGCAGTGGGAGGGAGTCAGCAGGTGGGAGGAGAGTCGGGGTGGAGTGGAGGGAGAGTACACAGGTGGAGGGAGTCAGTACAGGTGGGAGGGAGTCACTACAGGTAGAGGAGCCAGTGGAGAGGGAGTCAGTACAGGAGGTGGAGGGAGGTGAGAGTGGAGCGTGGAGGGAGCTGGAGGGAGTACAGGTGGAGGAGTCAGTACAGGTAGAGGGAGCAGTGGAGGGAGTCACAGGTAGAGGGAGTCAGTGAAGGTGGTGGAGGGAGTCAGTGGAGGGAGTCACAGGCAGTAGTAGTGGGGGAGTAAACACTATTATACTTGCCTCACTCACTGGCTTAGCCCCACCATCCATGTCAGGTACAGGTGGGGAGGGAGGTAGAGAGGGAAGGGAGTGGGGAGGGAGAGGGAGGGAAGGGGTGTGTGGGGGGAGGGAGGGAGAGGGAAGGGTGTGGGGAGGGAGGTAGAGAGGGGAAGGGAGGGGAGGGGAGGGAGGGAAGGGTGTGGGGAGGGAGGGAAGGTGTGTGGGAAGGGAGGTAGAGAGGGAAGGGGTGTGGGGAGGAGGAGAGAGGGAAGGGAGGGGAGGGAGAGGGAGGGAAGGGTGTGTGTGGGAGGGAGGTAGAGAGGGAAGGTGTGTGGGAGGGAGAGGGAGGGAAGGGCGTGTGGGGGAGGGAAAGGGGGAGGGAGGTAGAGAGGGAAGGTTGTGTGGGGAGGGAGAGGAGGGAAGTGTGTGGGGAGAGTTTGAGCTGATATTATTAAGAGCAGTTTAGTTTGGAATGAATGTAGAAGGAGGGATTGGGTGTGGGATGGTGGAAGGGGTGGGAGGATGGAGGAAAGATTGAGGGAGAGAGGGAGGAGGGGGGAGAGAGGGAGATGAGTGAGAATGAGTGTTATTAGGGGAGGGTAGGGAGGGAGGGAGGGAGGAGGGGTTAGAGAGAGGAGTGAAACTAAAGAATGTAGGTAGAGAGAGAGAGAGAGAGAGAGAGAGAGAGAGAGAGATGTTACATATATGTGTGTATTAGCAATGTGATTCTTTTGAAGTGGACACACACACACACACACACACACACACACACACACACTGCAATAATTGTTTGTAAGGCTTTCGTGTTATGATTTTTTTTTTGCTTTTTTACACAATTACGCCCATAACATTACCATGCACTGCACACTGTTGTATTCATGTGTGTGTATCCATGTTCAAAGTTTGTTTATTATTATTATTATTATTATTATTATTATTATTATTATTATTATTATTATTATTATTATTATTATTATTATTATTATTATTATTATTATTATTGTTGTTGTTGTTGTTGTTGTTGTTGACGATATGCCAGTCAGCCACTACATATCTCAGGTCGTGTTGGAGACCTCAACGGGTAGTGAGGTCAGTTGTAACTATACGTGTAATAATACGTGCCATAAGACCTTGGAATCAGTGCGTATTTGCTGTCGAGTATGACATTTAGTACAAGTGGAGGCAGAATGTTAAACTAGTGTGTGGGCGGCAGACGGCAGGTATTGTGGGCGGCAGACGTCAGGTAATGTGGGCGGCAGACGGCAGGTATTGTGGGCGGCAGACGTCAGGTATTGTGGGCGGCAGACGTCAGGTAATGTGTGCCGCAGACGTCAGGTAATGTGGGCGGCAGCGTCAGGTAATGTGTGCCGCAGACGTCAGGTAATGTGGGCGGCAGCTTATAGTTAACAATCATGTTATCGTCTTTATTAACATTTCAGACAACAGTAAATTGGCTTCCTTGGTTTAAGTTTAATATTCACCAAGTGTATGTGTGTGTGTGTGTGTGTTTAGTATACTCGTATTGTGTTCTTGCGTTCTTTTCTATCACGATTTTGTTTCTCTAAGTGTAATCAAGAACAGTTATTATGTAATTATATGACCTGATGTTTTATCTCTGTTAGGGAAAGAAGATTGAGTCCTCGAAGGTGTTCTTGAGGGACAACATGGCCTAAAAGTTTTATTTTGACGAGTCCTAATTTCGTTTTCTCCACTTTCCAGGACGGGCCTCCCAGGAGTGAAGAGTGAGGAGCAACATCAGAGAAAGACGGTGGTGATGAGATTACGGCAGCAGCCCCTCAGCACCAGCACACTCTCCTCATTCTCGCTGTGATTTGTTTCACGCCTTTGACGCCCCCAAATGTGTGAGGAAGAGGACTCCATCACGCAGGTGTATTGAGGCGAGACACAGTCGAGGAGGAGACAGTAGTAGTAGTCTATTGCGCTCACCATCTTCACCATCCAGTAACAGTGGGGATCTGTCTATAAGCAGAATCGATGCAGTCAAGAGAGTGAGGTGTTGTGATAACCATCCTCTTAGCGACAACCCTCGACGGTACTTGTCCCCAGCAAACTTACACAACATACACACACACGCGTACACGCCCTCACACACACACACACACACCGCCACCCCAGCGACCACTCTCTCTCGTTCCTCTGTTCGAGAGAAGATATCATCTGAGGACCCAAGTGTTGATGGCGTTGCCTTCTCGTGCCACCTGCTGCTGCCCTCCGTCGTGTGCACCACTGCTGCCCCCGTCCAGACTCCTAGCACCCGCCACCACCACCACCCGCGTATGATGAGGGGGCCAAGCAGTATTATCCCGGAGGTTCATCACGCCCACTGTCAACACAGATCGTTTTTCCAGTGACTTTTGACCCTTGATGAAAGAGTTGACCTAGCGTCTGGATATGACGTCATAGAAGAGAAGCCAAAGTAAAAAGTGTTGCTATGTGATAAGTCGTAGCTCAATATATTGCCTACATGACTGTTGTTGTTGGTTGACCTTGCCTTCCCGGGACCCGTGTAGTCGGTGTATATAGCGTAGAAAGTCAGGCTTTAAATTTGTTTTTAAGTATACGTCAGTATTGAATATATTCTATAGTAATTCTTGTTAACTTTAAAGTGTGTGCTTGGCAGTGTACAGTGAGGTGTAATCTGTGCGGTTCACGTCGGGAACCGGTCATTGTCTGTGATACTGAAACCAAATGTCTGTGCAGAAAAATTCCAATCTATAGAACACGAAGTTTTATGAACAGAAACCTAGTCTTATATGTGATAGACTTGTGTATCATTCCTGTCTAAATTTTTCCTAATATAAAAAACAAAGACTCGAGAATTTATAGCCACTTTTGAGGCAAAGAAATCTGCAGACCCGGACGTCCATCGACACACGGCGCAAAGAATTATTATGGAAATTGGTGCTTAGTCACAAGGAAGGACAGTTAGAGCGGGATTTATGGGCAGCGTCTCGAGAGGAGAGAAGAGAGAAGGTTTACGACCAAGACCTTTTCATTGTTTTATGACTCGTGAAATTTGTGGGGCAGCAGATTAACAGCAGCAGTCTGTGTCGCGAGGCTGTGAGATATGTCGCACAGGATTAAGAAAAATTAATAAAGAATTGAAGCATCAGGCGGCACCGTGTGAGGGTTGAGAGGGACGTGTACAGGCTGCTGTACCTCCTCGGCTGCGGCTTTGTCTCTGCTGCAGCTGCACACTGACGCTGCATATTGTCGGTCAACACACGAGGCCGGCGGCCACTCCAGCCAACGCCCTGTTGATTCGCCTCTGTCAACACCTTGAATTGTTCCATTTTCTTTTAGTAAGGAAGGAAAGGTAAACTTGGTCATTTTTAATCACTGATCTCGTCAGCTGTAAGTGAAAACGATATATATATATATATATATATATTTTAATTTTGACACAAGTGGAGTAAACACGTAGCTGACGGTGACAATTATTAACGAGGTACACAAAGGTTGGTCACCACTCACTCAGTCACGTTTATTTGAAGAAGGATTTGCCGAAGTCATCATTTATCACTTGACTAACACTATAGTGTGAAGCTCCGGCTAGACCTTGACGAACTGAGTTATAAAGAATCACACACCATCCCTTAGAACGTTGCTTCTGCAGGTAAAAAGACGAAAAGTGAACAATAGTGAGGACTTTTAAAACACGAGCAGAAAAAAGCACCGAAAAAAAAGTGTTTGTAAACAACCTTCTTTGTGTAACAGAAAACAGTGACGTGATAACAAGAGTTGAATAGGAAGCCCTCGTCAGTCAGGCTCTAAGATCCCCTTCTGTCACATCCTTGTCACATCCCGTCACAGCCACGACGTCGACAAGAATAAGAGGGTCGAACGCCTTTGACATCTTGAAGTAGACTGAGCTGAGCCACCTCTCTCATGTTCCTCCAGTGAACCATCACGGTTAAGACTTAGTGTACCAACAGACAATAGGCCAGAGAGTTTTTATGAATAGTGGTTTATGAAAGACTGATTTAAAAAAAATATTTTGAAACTGGATTTTAGACTTGATTTTTAATTTGATAGTGAGGGGCCACACGAGCACTTGATAGCCATAATGGTGAAGATGGTGCCTCGCCGCGGCTGGCTGCGGCTTTCTTTCTTAGGCTTACTGGCCGCATGCGCCCTGGTGTACGTGTACTATTACTCATCCGGCACACCCAACCCCCACCTGCTCAAGGATAAGCCGCAGGAGGCAGCGAGGGGAGCCGGAGGGGAGCGGCGGGCGGAGAGGCAGAGTGAGTTGGTGGACGACGGTCAGGGTCAAGTCATCCCCTCCCACCAGTGCCACGCCATCGCCGCCCCCAAGACTGACGTCAACACCGTGGATCAGTTCCCCAAATTCGAGTTCCAGGTAAGTGACGCTTGTGTTAGTGTAAACAATGCCAAGTGCTGTCCTTAGGAGAGTGAAATGTGTTTTAGAATGTAATCACATGACTGACTCAAGATTCCAGGTAAGGATATTTATTTACTTTTGACGTTGTAGTGTTAGACCGTGTTCGAGAATTATATAACAAGTTTACTCTGTTAGGAAACAATTAATAACTGGTAGTTCATCCTAAGTACAGGTCGTCGATAAACGATATTTCACATGATTATACGAGTATCTAACGACATCTGAGCTGGTTTAGTCTTTCAGGTATAATGAAGAAAATAAATATTTACCCAAGTATTGTGAGAAGTGACTAAGTTTTACCTGGTCGTGTTGCCAGGTGGGTGTAAGGTACCAATCTTAGTTTATTGATGTATTATGTATTAAGTCGTTAGTTCCTTCACGATTACATCAGCGCTCAGGTCACTGTATACATGGATAAAGTACCACAAACAGTACTCGTACCTCACTAAAACATGTGACGTAACGTGTGGATTAATATATGACAAACAAATACGACAAACTTATGAATATACAAGTATGTAAATGACTTTCCTGTTTTGTCGTAATATTTATCTTAATAATTCAAGTGACCTTCACCACCGCCAGCTTCCGTAGGGGCTATACCGACACTGTCTTATATCGGTGGGCAAAAATTCGGGTAATGAAGAGTTTTAGAGCCCCGTCATGACACACTTCTGAGAGTAGTGAGGCTGTAGAGTGTGTTGCTGCCTGGCACTCACCTCGCAGTTAGGTCAGAGACTCTTCCCACACTAACGTTTTTATCATGTATTTCCTCCTACTCTCACTGCTACACCCTCTCCCCTCACTGCTACACTCTCCTCTCACTGCTACACCCTCTCCCCTCACTGCTACACCCTCTCCCCTCACTGCTACACTCTCCCCTCACTGCTACACCCTCTCCCCTCACTGCTACACTCCTACCCTCACTACAACCTCCTTTCTTCACTATACATCACATTATTATTATTATTATTATTATTATTATTATTATTATTATTATTATTATTATTATTATTATTATTATTATTATTTTGTTTCTAATTGTTAAGAGGTAATTACACTTTGGTTATAAAGTGGTGAGCATTATAACCTAACCTAACCTATTAGACATTATCTATTAGACTATACAATACAATGAGGATAAATCGAGAAATTGAAAGCATTATAACACAGTATAACTTTATATACACGTAACCACTATAACCCAATATACGTAAACACTATAATTCAACGTAATATACTCTTGAGCACTATAACCCAAAGCACTATAACCTTAATATGCCACACACGAAGGCTAATAACTTGCTTGATACTCTGGCTGTCGATCGCTGTCGTCCCCGAGGCTGATGAAGAAAATAATTTTATGGTTATAATAAGCGATCGACCGTCGGGGTGAAATTAGGGGAGGAAGTCTTGGTGGAAATTGGCCCCGGAGCTGCTGGGCGTCCGACACAATGGGGAGGGGAGATGGGGAGAAGGAGAGGAGGGGAGAAAGAAGGGGAGGGTAGTTGGGGAGGGAGAAGGGGAAAGTAAATATGGAGGATGGGAAGGGAAGGGTGGATGGGGAGGAGGGTGGAGAAGGAAAAGACAGATGGGGAGACAGGGGGGTGAAGGGAAGGACAAATGGGGGAGAGGAGGGAGAAGGGGAGGACAAATGGGGAAGAATAGGTGTGGGGTAGGGAGAAATTCGCCTACCTACCTAATTTGGCATCGTTTCACCGGAGTAATTACACTTTGGTGACCTAGGGGAGCTTCTCGTGTACCCCGTCATTTACAAGTGAGTTAAGGTGAAGTGGTTAAGTGTAGGTCATGTTATTGGCGATACTAAGAAGGTCAGGGTTCTTTTTGCCATGGACCGATTCGCCACTACAAGAGTCGCCACCCAATAGTTCGCCAATACGAGAGTCGCCACCCAGGAATTCACCACCAGTCTACTCGCCACAGTTCCATCATTTAGAGAACCAAACACTACATAACTGCTTACCCACCCTCCGAGTACCCCCTACACCAGCTCCCTCACCCCCACCCCCCACACCAGCCTTCTCACCCTTTCACCCATTATACCAGGCACCTCACCCCATACTACCCCCTACACCACCCACCTCACCCCCCCAACACCCACTACACCCCCCAACATCCCCCTACACCAGCCCCCTCACCACCTACACCACCCCCCTCAACCCTTAAAACACCCTAACCCGTTGCCACACCTTGCACCCCATCCCCCACCACACCGTTGTTACCCTCCAGGTGATGTATTGTACCTGCGTGTCGGTGGTGACTCATGGTGTTCAGGAAGGAGGTTGGTATACGTATCGTGTGAGCGTCATGCAATATATACCTTGTAATCATGTGACCTGTAATTTGAGCGTCTCTTCAGAAACTTGTGTAGTGAACTTACTGCTGTACACTTTGACGCTCGCTACGGTGTTAATAATTGAGAATATCTTTATTGCTGTGTTTTCGTGTCTTTTTGGTTTGGTATATTAACGCCAACTGGATTTAGAGACAGGCAGCAGAGTTCAGGAGCAGACATAACTTTAGTAGGTGATAACAGGGTTCACCAGTAGGCAGCAGGGCTCAGTAATAGGCAGCTGGACTTAGCAGTAGGGGGGGGGGGGAAACTATGGTATTAATTCCTTCTCATTTTACCTATTGAAGTATTCGTTCCGAGTTCAGTGTGTAAGACCTTAGATCAGGTTTACACACTGGTGATGTTACTCTCTAAATAGCACAACAGTGAACACGGCCCGACAGCTGAGGGAATATATTCAGCTTTGGGTTGTGAACACGGCGAGAAGAGCTTAGTCCAGCGAGAGCCAGTGCTATGCTGACACCAGGTGACAACTCCGCGCCTCGAAACAGACCCGGAGTAATGGGCTATTTTTTGACTGTTTTTGTTGTTGTTGTTGTTGTTGTTGTTATACATTATGGATTTTTAGATTCATGGTGTAAATATTATCTTGTACACGACTAAAGAACAGCTTGTTGGTGGTTTTGATTCTTACGTCAAGTACAGTGTGATGGTCATTATCATTTAGGTGTGTTGAGCAGTGCGCCTTCAACCCCTGGGCACCTAGATGGAAGCAGGTTAAAAACTTTCTCGATTTTTAATTATCGATAGACGTTGTCCTCAGCAACTAACACGATTGACGTCAGTGAAGTATTACCTCGAGGCTTGATGAGTTGCTGATGGAAACTACTGAATGAATTTGACGATTTTGTTTTAAGTTGTTTCGACTCTCTTAAAACATTATACCTGGAGACTTGAATCATCAACACGTAAACTGTATAAGAGAAGAGCAGTAAACAGAGATATTCCGAGGTATCTGTTAGTTTCTCGTTGTTGTGTTTACGTTGCATGGCCTGCTGAAGGAATTTAAATTACATAATATATACTGTTGTCTGAGTTACCGTGTGTGGGGAGGGGGGGGTGGTGTAGGGCTGTGGGTGTAGGTATAGAGGGATGGTGGATGGATGAATCTGTCTTGTCTGTCTGTCTGTCTGTCTGTCTGTCTGTGTGGTGATCTAGGGGAATATTATTGTTTTATTCATTACACCACGAGGAAGTTAACCCACGCGCGTCGGTTTAAACCCAAGCTACTTAGGGACCGGTGACGGGAGGGGGTGGGGGGGCAGAGATCTTGACCCCCACACATAGTACAGTTTTTCATTTGACTTTTCCTCAAGAATAATTTTAAATCATCTTTTTTCCTTATTTTATGAAGTTAAGTTTTAAAAGTTTGCTGTTAAATATTCTACCACTTTATTCTTTGTGCTAATAAGATTTAAATATTTCTTTATTCTCTGCTGGTGATGTTTAAGAAAAGTTGAGGAAATCATTTTAGAATATACTGAAGGAGTTATACTGAGACAGGTATGGCTCCCAGGTGAGTATGTTTTAATTACCTTTACCTGCCTCACAAGCACATTAATTAGTGGGTTATATGACCTCTGACACACCTGGAGAGCGTACTTGTTTAATATAGCTTATAGTTTAATACCTCAAGAAATATTAATGTCTAGTGCTATAAAATAGGAAGAATGAGAGAGAGAGAGAGAGAGAGAGAGAGAGAGAGAGAGAGAGAGAGAGAGTTTTTGTCATTTCAATTATTAAGTATATTTTTTATTAGTTTATTCAGATATTTTTTTCATTTCCTTCATTCATATCATTTATTAAAGAGTTTTTCGTTTTATTCTTTAAAAGTTTTTAATTGATTTAATTAATAGTTGTTCATTTCACTTATTAAAAAAAATATATCAATCCGTATTTTTCACCATCACATTTCATCTAATTTACCTAACCTAACTTAACCCAACCCAACCCAACCCAACCCAACCCAACCTCCAACCTAACCCAACCCAACCTAAACTCAACCCAACCCAACCCAACTCCAACCCAACCCAACCCCAACTAACCCAACCCAACCCAACCCAACCCAACTCAGTTAACAATAATAACGTGGCCTTTAAACTGTCCCCAAAAATAACCAACAAAACCCATTTATTTAACTCCTCTCTCCATCACGACAGGACAGACAGATTATGACAACACAACCGGTAGTTCAAATCATTTTACATATTATTAGTGTAAATTAAATGTGTCGTGTGCTGAAAAAGGGGGAAATATTAATCAGTTAATGAAAACAGATAATTGCCCCAGTGACATTATAGGTGTGAATGTTAGTGTATGTTAAGTGAATGTTAAGTGATGGTATCTACTGAATGTCAAGTCCTAGTACCACTGATATAAAACCGCTAATTTCGGTCAAAATATCAAACTCTCGAATTTTAAAACAATAAGGAAAAAATACATTATTATCACTAATATTTTTTTTTAATCTGATTCTTTGAAGTCATTTTAATTGGCAG